AAAAAAAAAAAAAAAAAAGAAACAAGAAATGAAAAAGAAGGAGAGATTTGCACGTTTAGCGTAAAGATTTTGTTTCACTCGCGATACATGTTTCGATCGAACGCGCTTGAAAACGATGCGAATTGTCTCTGTGTCGTTTCTCTCGCCGACGAAGCGTCAGTGTTTTATTAGACGTGTAAAAATTAAAGTTTCGTAGCAGTCGAGCGTTCAATACAATTTTTTGCCTTATTATTAATCGCAGTGTTGGCAAGTCGAATCTCTGGATATACTGATACGATAATGGGAGCAACATCCTTACGGTCGATGCATTGTTCGATGCATAGAACATATCGGGCTATAATGGTGATATTATAAAAGCTTGTCAATTAAGATGAAACTATGAACAAAGGATAGAACTGAGATAATGATATAAATGATACGCTGTTTTGCTTTGGTTTTTCACTTTCTTTTTTTTTTTTTCTTTTCTCTTTGTCATATGCATATCAAATGAAACGCTCATAATTGATCGATAAATGAACGACATCTAATTGCTTTCAAGCTAGTCGATGATAATGGCAAGTTCGTTTATCGTTTGCCGACAAACGTGTCCGCACAATTTTTTTTTTTTTGCATAGAAAATGGTAAAAAGAATACGTGAACGAAACATTTTAGAAAATAATGAATTTATTAAAAGTAGCGTATGTATTTAAATCATATCGCAAGTAACTTGACCAGCAAGTAGCGATTACACATCTGATCATACATTTATACGCGACACTTTCATGATACGTTTGATGTTGACATTTAAAATTCGCCTAATTAAATATTAACTTATGTCGTATTCTTAAATTACATCACAGTCTTTGATTCAGTTTCTCTGTTCGCCATGTTTTCTATGTCGACTGTTTTGGCGCATACGATAAAAAGTAGCAGAAATTATAAATGGAAGCATACCACGTCGTATAAGGAATCTCGTCGATAACAGTTAGCATGATTAATTTTTTAAATTAAACGCATGCACAAGAAGAAAAACAAAAAAAAAAGAAATTTAATTAACGAAAGATTGTGTGCGATCGTGTATAACAAAATAATAGAAGCAGGCTGGATGTTCGATTTGTTGGATCAAATCGAAATTCTAAATGACGACATTTCTAAGCAAAAAGTTGGAGGCTCGCGAACCGGAAGTTACGATTTAAATATAAGAAACGTGTTACCATTAGACGACGTCTACGAACAGAGGGAAACAAATGGTTTAGCGAGTCAAAATCTTTGGTTTAGGATTTACGTAGGTTAACACGTAGCGTGAAATCCAAAAAATTCATGGACTAGCTATTAACCAGTATCGAAAGCGTTCGTAACACTATCCGTCGTCACATCATCCTCTAGAATGATGGTATCGCGTCGTTCGGTGAACAAAGTATCTTGACTAAGCGCGGGAACCTGTCTAGAGAATTCGCTAGTTGCCCACAAAAATAGATCCAACGTTTGTTCAGTACATTCTGCTATGAACCGAACGAACGGTCGAACGTCACCGGTGTTGGCTATTTGAAGATTTTCGTAATACGTGTGCCGATGCTGCTTGTGAATAATAACCGGCGGATAACCAGCTTGCATAAGAATCATATTCATGAGCAAGCGAGATGTTCTACCATTTCCATCGGAAAACGGATGTATATGTACCAATTTATAATGCGCTAGAGCTGCATATCTGGAATAAGAGAATATTCAATAGCAAAAAGTAATTACTCGCGATATAGTAGGGCAGGTAATGTAAGACGAAGGAAAATAAGAAAGGAAACAGTTAGGTACCTGACTGGATGCATTCGAATAGCTCTCTCGCTGTTTAACCATAGCGCGAATTCTTCCATAAGATAATGAATATCTCCAGGACCAGGAGGTACGTGACCACCAACGTACACTTGAGTACGTCGGAATTGGCCACCTTGGACGGGATCCACGTGTCCTAGAACGCGCATGTGAATCTCTAATATGTCCTTGATAGAGATTGATCCAACTCTATTGACCAGAGTCGCGTTGATATATTTCATCGCGGCATCCAAGCCAAGAATCTCATTGTGCTCGTCGATGCTTTTACCAGCAACCGCAGTACGGGTTTCAACGATCGCCCTGGTTTGAGCCAAATTCATCGTGTTTCCCTCGATGCCAACCGTGTGATATATATGCTGAAAGTAAGCTTCCTTTTTCGCGCGTATCAACGCGGCATTGTTATCAGGTATCGCGGACAGTGCGTTTCGTTTCTCGTCTATGCGACGCAGCATTCTTCGATCCAACTCCTCGACCACTCGAGCCGTTCTCTGACTATTTATCAACGCACCTTCGTGGTTCGGTTGAAAACTCAACGCTCGTACATAGTACTCATTCGCTTTGATAACGTCGTTCTGTGTGTGCTCTAAAAACTCGCCGTAATGATTCAAGATGTCTGGATGACGGGGCGCTAAAGCCACAGCGTGTTGAAACAGCTTAATCGCTTTCTTCTGTTTGCCCGACAATTTCATCTCCAACGCCAGATGTAACGAGGTTAAAGCTTCCGCAATGGACGTCGCGCTGTTCTCCATTTCCAATTGACGCTGCAGCTGAGATCTTGGCAACGCAACATCCAGGGTACCTTCGTCGTATACGTTCAACTCACCTTCCGTCGGCAGTGGTATAAATACATGACGATAATCATGATCTGAAAGAACTGAATTATAATACACAACTAGCTAGAAGTTTTCTCTCCTAACTGTCAAAGAGGTTAGGTAACTCAAGAAAGTGATACCTGGCAGAAGTAGTAGGAGTACGATCAGAAACACTCACCTGATAAATGTTTCAGAGAACCGCGAATGTATTGAGACAGTAACGTTCCAATGACAGCAACCGCAATTCCTGACACGAAGACGAGAAGCACGACTATGCGATTTGCCGTCATAGCGACGTTCGCATTCTCCCTAGTTCTTCTATCTTTTACGTATCCAAGTTTCTCATCGTAGAACATGTAGTAATACTTCTCACGTGACACCAGCATCGTACTCTCATAAGATATCGAACTAAATATTTATCTCGATTGACAGTGGGTCGCAACATAATCCTAAATTTTTGCCAACTCGCTTCACTCCCCATTCCACACCACGGGCAAAACAACGTGCCGCCTTGTTCGACATCTCGAACATGTGGTAGTATTCGATTGGTCTAGTTTTCATCGCGAGCAATCGATTCTCTTTTTTTCTTCCCTTCGCATAAATGTCACTAGCATCGAAGTAATCGTGCAATGAGGTTAGAAAATAGTGCTCTCAGAAAATTGATTTACCTAATTTATTCCCCAATTGTTAAAGATAAAAACAGCTTTTAAAAAAATAGTTTCAAAGTTAATAGATAATAGATAATAATAATAAAAAAATAGTTTCAAAGTTAATAGATAATAATAATAAAAAAAATAGTTTCAAAGATAATAACTTAAATCAAATATATGTGTGTAATCATTAAATAAAAGTTTCAAGAAATTCTTGTTTTTTGTTTGTACTATAACATTTAGAAGCAATATGCATATTGGAAAAGAATCTAGCAATCTGTGTCTGTTTTTGTCACACGTTTTTTTATGGTTTACTCCTTTAAATAAATATATTATGAGATTTAACAAGAAACTATAACAGTAACTATTTATTTGTGTACAGCAAGATCTTCATGACGACCGTTTGCTTTGGTTAATTCTTAACAACTGAGATTACAATATATTTTCCGCTACTTTCTTTTCTTCATTTGTAATCAATCGTCGCTGTTGAACTCGTTTTTAAAAATACACGCGCTTGCGAGAACGTGCTGCCATCTATCGGATTTTTCATTTTTCTTCTTTTAGTTCCAATCGGAGTTCAGAGACGCTTAGATGGCAGCACTATTCTTAGTGTGACAAGGACAGACACATGTTGTGTGATAGACAAGGAACGCAATAGCATGTGAGAAGGACAGTAATAGAAATTACTTCCATCGTTTCACCGCTACGTGGCGCTAGCATTTTAGTGCTCATTTCATAATGATGAAATTTTCATTTGCAAGAAAAGGTAATTAAAAGATTAAAAATTGTGAACTTTTGACGTTGCATTTTCAAAATTAGACTTTTTTTGTGTATTCCATTCAACCAGTAAAGTGTTTTTATAAAGATTTACAAATTCTACTCGATGGAAGCATTTGCGCTAATAGTTAATTCTTTGCCAACTACATTCGAAATTCGAATTAATCTATGATCTTTCGTAGTTATATATCTATATAATTGGTGTTCCTTCATTTATATATTTTTTTGTCATTTGAACTTCGAAATGTAGGCATAAAAATTTAATTTGGTTTGATATCTTCGATAGGTTTCATTTGAAGAATAATAAATTATTCTCGAAAATTTTTTATTTAGAATTTATCATTATTTAATGAGTTTAAATCTCTGGAAAAACAAAAAAAAACCACAAATTTGTTCAATCAACAATTTTAAAACTGTACGATTGTTCATGCAATCATGCATGCATTGAGATCGGAAACATTAAGAGTATAATAGATTTTGCTCCAATTGATACGGATAAAGAAATATCACGGTACAGAATTTTATATTTCGTAGATGGTTCATTTATTTTCCAATTCCATGGAGAGACTTATTTCTGATTCAAATCATTATCACGGTGAATTGATAGTCTCGTGCCGAGGCACTAAAAAGCATTGAATGGTCAGGTCTCGTACAGTTGTGGCACGCAACGCGTATCGTTGTATGTTTTGGAATTCAAAACATGGGGCTTGATAAATAAGCTTCGTCGATGTATTTAATTCGCGATTATCTCGCAACAATTCTCACCCGAGTATAAAACGTGGCAAGGGAATCGCTTTTTTTTTTTTTTTTTTTTTTTTTTTAAATACAGGAATTGCGTCACGCGCATGCGCCCGAACGTTTTTTAAACAGAGGAACGTTTGACGAAAGAGAAAACGTCACGCAAGCATTTCCGGTATACGCGGAACATGGCGTCGTTTCAAATCGAAGGAGAAACGAGAGCAATCGGAAAACAACGGGATACGACGTGAGCAGAAGGAGGGCGAACGATGCGAGATGGAACACCGAGGTGTAGCGTGGCAAGATGAGACGAGACGAGACGAGACGAGACAAGACGAGTCGAGTCGAGGTTAGGCGAAAGGATGTACGGCTAGTTAGGAGAGACGGCGGAGAGACGGTCGAGTCAGGATCTGGCGAAAGAGTAGAGGTAGAGGGGAACGATGCGAATGAACATGAAGGCGAGGTAAGTCGGTGCAAGCGAATAATAGCCGAAACGACCCTGAAACCGAGGCCATCGTTGTTCGTTGGCCCGAACAACACGCAAGGCAGCACGTTCGTTTCTCTTTACGTTCGCGGGCTTCGATCTCGCACGTCGCGTCGTGTCGCCCGCAAACGCCAGCAGTGCACCGTGATAAATACTCACGAGGCGAGCGATACCATCGTCGAAAGCGTGCAAACAAAATTGCGGTATCGCCTCTGCGGTTTTCCCGCAATCTCCATGCCATGAAACGCGAATTGTCATTAAAAATCATTTTCACGAGACTCGTTGTAGCGAAAGTCGATAACAAAGTCGTTGGACGACGAGTTTCACGCCGTAGTTTACCGTCCGTGTATCGGAGGGCGCTAGCTACGAGCTTGCTCAGTTTTCGTTGAAAAGTGACTTCGATCATTGATCGTGAAAAACGCGTTTTCATTAACCTCTTGCGCTGGCAACTGGCTGTCACGGACCATAACGAGTGACCAAAACCGTATACAATAATTCGTCGCTTTCTTTTTTGGACTCGTCGGTGTGGTATCACTGGATAGAAATTATTACTAAGAAGTAATAAATTTATTACTTATTTTGCCTGGGTTATATTTAAATATACTTAAAACTGAGAAAAATATAGCAATTTTGGGACAAAAAATTCTCGACGTGCGTGGCACGTTGTTCCAGCGCAAGAGGTTAACGTCAAAACGTACAATCAGATATTCGCGGTTATTCGCGAGAAAATCGAAAACTCAACGGAGAGTTTGTGCATCGACGTCTCGTGAATCAATGCATTTCATCTTTTCTTCGTAGGTTCCACGAACGTCACGAGTTTTGGCTATCGTCGAACAGCTGCAGCAGAATGAAAGAAGAAGCCGAACGGAAACCAGACGCTGTAACGCACACTCAGAAACGTTCTTCTCTCCCCTAGAAGTTGTTCGTGGCAGGTCGACCGGTTCTGCTCTAATTGCATTTCCCGCGAGTACTCGGAACCCTTCGTGCTTCCGTTGTGGTTCCTCATTTTTTTTTTTTTGTTTTGTTTTTTAATCCAATCGACTAACTAGATCGCTACGAAATCGGAAAATTCCGAAAATATTGTCACGCGTTTTTCGTTAATCACACATAACAATTATTGTTGAATAAGTATACCGATAATATATCGAACACAGATAGATCATTTTGGTAGCTGTTGATTGTTTCATCGTCGGGCAGCTTATATGTTATATATAGCATTTACAAACTACGCGCAGATCTGTGAGATTTTGCATTGCCCTTGGTCCGTACGCTCGATTCATCATCGTCGCGTCCAAGATTAGACGCCTTCGGTTTCCACGAACGGAAGACACGAG